GATGCTTAACTAATGACAAACTTAATTAGCTCATGGACGTTCAAAATCAAAATATCCACTTCAGTAAGTTATTCCGGAGGAAATTCATGCTGTCATGTATAAATTTGCGCATATGAATGGAGTTATTAAAACAGTTATGAAATCTAGAATTTTTTGGATGGAGTGTATAATGCAGACTGTAATATTACGCCGTTTTTACAAAGGAAATATGTGCACAATGGTGATTACAGTTGTTGAAAGAAATAAAATAAGATGATACCACAGTCTTAGGACTGTGTTTGAGGGCGTTATGCGTCAGTAGGACTTTGCCCATTTCGATAAGTTTCTGAGTGAATGCCATTTCTCGCATTCGAATGTGCGCCTCATCTGGATCGATATATTGAAGGGTGATCTGTGGATAAACCGATCGATGAAAAAAGTAGAAATCTCTGAAAGTTTTCATATTTCTGAAACATTCGAGCATTCTTGACAAGGTTACATGCAGCTTTAACCATTTATGCATTCAAAAGAATGTTGGCTCTTGACTTAGGCAATTTGTGAAGTTTTGTGAAACGAATTCATTTGAAATGCAGCTTAACCGGAAAATGGTTTTCAACTGAGCACATCAATACAGGTGTTTTATCGGTGAAAAAAAAAGAGAACGAAATCGGAGTGAATCACTCGTGCAAATCACCTGACGAACGACGACGGGATATGCACTAGATTCGTTTTTGTATCCACCAAAAAGTAATTTTCCACTTCGTTATCGGGAATATTGAAAAACTCGATACTATCGGTGAGCAGCTGTTGAAAGATGGTATCTTCATGAATTGGGAACTGCGACGGAATACCACCCGAACCACTGTCGGGCCCGTGAACGATAATCTTTTTTGCTGATGGTACGTTTGCGGTGATCATTAAGGCTTGCTGAAAACTTGAGCAGTTTTGGATGGATTTTTGGGCCAAAGATGAGAGCTGTTCGCCAGATCAGATCAATTTCTCGCAAGACACACTCGTCTCAATTTGCTGATACTTTAAGTGAATCATTTGGATTCGATTAAAAGTATTGATTATAGTGATATGATTTTTTTGGCCGTATAGAGAATCTTGAGTTTGGTCACTCAGATGCACTTGTTGATATTAATTGAATCGAATCGATTTCAATATCACGTATACATGGAAGATTCCTTGTATATCAAATTTTCAATTTGGAAGTTTCTGAGGAATGAATCATTATGATTCATTGATTATCAGTAAGGTTATTTT